GTTTACATCACTTTACATAGAAGACTCCTTTAAAGGCGTGTACCTTCATCATGAGAACCACAGTGTTGAGGGCGATCATGATCATGATGGAGTACTCAAACGGAGCGGAGACCACAAACTTCCACATCCTGTACTGGAAGGACTGCGTGTCTTCTGGCATGTAACGGGTCAGAGGTTTGGCATTGATGGCAAAATCAATACAAGCCCTCTATAAAAATAAAATAAACACATGTTTCATTAGCCTTTTTACGGTTCAACATTTGCAAGCATTCGTGCAGATCCACACTGATGTCAGTAACTCGTTTGTAAAACGGACCAGACGGCTACATTTAATGGGTCTTTTCTCCGTATCCAACACATTCTCACACCCGTAGCGTTGAAAATGATGCTGGGTGACCAAGCGTTAGAGGAGGCGCGCTGTGCCAGAGCGTCGATCTCGAACGCCCGCAACAAAACACACCTTTAACCGACGTTTAACCTCTAACCTCCTGCTGTTTAACCTTCCCCCAGCCACAAGGTTAGGGTTAGGGTAGGGGTGAAGGGAAGGTTAAATAGCAAGAGGGCAAAGGTCACCATTCGGCGGCACAGCGCATCAGAAACAAACGCTGGGTCACCCATCATCATGTTTCGACCCGTTGGGTGTGAGAATGTGTTGCCTCATAAGCAAAACCAAAGGGTGCGTTTGCGTCTTTTCTTCACGCTTGTCTTGGAGACGACCAGAAAGGTCCGTTTTGTTTCTGACTCGGAGATCACAGACCCTCAGAAGTTTGGTTTTAGAAACACACCTTAAAGGTAATTTTAGGTATTTCCGACGACAGCAAATCACAGTTAAACAATAGGTCTTGATTAAAGTCACATAAGCGACATCTGTTCCCCTCCCTGGGCTGCCACCTTACCATGCTGGAGGGGTTTGAGTGTCCCAGTGATCCTAGGAGCTGTCTGAGTTTTTACGCCTCTGGTAGGCCGAGTGGGAAGCAGCTGGGATGAGGTCTAAATCCGAGAGCATGGTCTCGAGTCAGATCAGGGTAGAATGCCTTCTCCGGGTCAGGGATGAGGTCTAAATCCGAGAGCATGGTCTCGAGTCGGATCAGGGTAGAATGCCTTCTCCGGGTCAGGGATGAGGTCTAAATCCGAGAGCATGGTCTCGAGTCGGATCAGGGTAGAATGCCTTCTCCGGGTCAGGGATGAGGTCTAAATCCGAGAGCATGGTCTCGAGTCGGATCAGGGTGGAATGCCTTCTCCGGGTCAGGGATGAGGTCTAAATCCGAGAGCATGGTCTCGAGTCGGATCAGGGTGGAATGCCTTCTCCGGGTCAGGGATGAGGTCCTGCCCCAAGTGGAGCAGGTTAAGTATCTCGGGGTCTTGTTCACGAGTGAGAGAGAGAGAGAGAGAGCGGGAGTTCGACAGACAGACTGGTGCTGCATCTGCAGCGATGCAGGTGTTGTCCTGACCTGTCCAGGTGAAGAGACAGCTGAGCCAGAAGGCTGATCTACATTCTTACCCTCACCTATGGTCACTCCACATGGAGAAGAGCCAGTTGAGGTGGCTCAGGCATGTGGTCAGGATGCCTCCAGGACGCCTCCCTGGTGAGGATTTCGGGCACGCCCAACCAAGACGAGACCTAAAGGTAGGACCCAGGACACGCTGGAGGGACTATGTCTCTCACCTGGCCAGGGAAGGCCTTGGGACTCCCCCAGAGGAGCTGGCTCAAGTGTCTGGGGAGAGGGAAGTCTGGGCCTCCCTGCTTAGACCACTGCCCTTGACCTTGGATAAGTGGCTGAAAATGGATGGATGAATGAAAGAGTCTTCTCCTTGAACTGCTACCAACTTACTGTGATGGGGGATTTTGGATGCCCTAAAGATCACTGTTTGGGCCTTATGCAGAAGCTGTGGTTCTAACTTGGTTCTGACATGTCAGCGGACCAGCTCAGACTGAGAGACCATCTAAAGGCTCAGGAACCCTCTGCAGGTGTTCTGGATTCATCAGCTGATCAGAGTGGGACACTGGGAGTCACTGAACTTTTTCACAATATTCTGATTGTCTGAGATTTGGAATGTGGCCTTTCATCAGCTGTGAGCCATAATCATCACAGTCATCACAGATCAAGGCTGAAATATCTGGATTAGCATGAGATGAGTCCGTCTCATAGATTAGTTTCACCTTTTAGGCTGAATTTGTGACATAAATGAACTTTTACACCAGATAGTAACTTTTTAAGTTTCACCGGTGGGTTACAGGAGGGGAGTTATCTCAGGTTGTTGTTTAGGAGAGAGGGACAGAGAGAGAGGCTAAGGAATAGGTGGTCAGCAGTGATGTGGACACTGAGATGAAGAGGAGACTAAAAGTGTGTTCGTGAGCAGACACTTTTGTCCAAAGCGACTTACAGGGGGTGATGAAGCCATGGGGTTGCCCTTGAAGCTAACAAACACTATTCCGTGAGGTGGCAGTGAGGCAGCATGATCAATCACACAGGGAAGCAAACATGGAGCGGAGCGAGGAGCTCGGACCTCCAGGAGACACTCAGAGCAGAACCATTGCTTGTCCACATTTAGAGGTGCCAGCGAAGGTGGGTGCCTCCTAGGGGAGGTGTTTCCGATCAGCAGGAGGCCCCTAGGTTGAAGCTGGACACTCAGGAGGAAGTTTCTCTCTAGGCTGGCAGGGAATAGCCTGAGGTCCCAATGAAGGAGCTGGTGTCTACCTCATCATGCAGACATCTTTCTCAGCACGGCCTACACACACCATTTCATTTGTCGGTTCATTTCACCCACCAGAGTGAGAATCAGAGCTTTCCAAGTGATTATGGACTTCTGGTTTTGCTCTCGGTTGCTCCAAAGGGAACACGCCGTTTGTCAGAAGTGACGTTGTTTATGGGAATCAGTGGCGAGTAGAACAGAGGCAGTAATGAATCATGTTAGTAGTGTTTATGTTTGGTTTAACTGCTTCCTGCAGCAAGTCAACTCACACTTTGGGTTCTGGTTCTGTCAACATGGTGGAAACTCCTTTACCTCATTCTTTTCCAAGCTGCACTCAGACAGAGCCTTGTCTCCCTGCTCCTGGAAGGTGATGATGATCAGAGCAACAAAAATGTTGACAAAGAAGAACGGAAAGACCACAAAGTACACCACGTAGAAGATGGACATTTCTATCCTGTAGCCAGGACTGGGACCCTGGTCTTCGAAGGTGGCATCCACGGAGTGTTTCAGAACTCTGTAAGGAAAGATTTCAAACATGAGATAAAATACTCGTCACGCTTCACTGGCAACAGTCGTTTTACGAAGAATCAAAAATGATTCACAGAATACAATCAGAAGCAGACAGAACAACAGCAGCGGCTCTGACGCGAGCGGCGGGAGCTTCGTGGGGTCCTCCATAGGGACCGCTGACAGACTCAGCTAAAGGGAAGGATTGTAGCTCTCTCCTGTTTTCAAATGGCCCGTACGGCTCTCTGGAACAATGAACATGCAGCTGCAAACGTTGATCAGAACGTTGTTTAACAAGAGTTGGTGAGACTTACGTGGGCCAGCCCTCCCCGGTGGACACAGTGAAAAGAGTAAGGAATGCCCACAGAACATTGTCGTAATGGAATTCGTACTTCTTCCACTCTCTGGGCATTGCAGCCACCTCGTCTTTATCGTAGTACAGAAACTGTCCTCTGGAAGGCATGAAGGGGTAAGCGGTGTTAGGCTGGAGCGCACAAACGTTTAACACGTAACAATAGAAGGTTTTCAGATGTGGGCTGAGAGCGTTGAGGCTGGTAGACCCACTTGCAGTCCTTTTGCAGGGCTTTGGACTCATCAGTGCAATAGAAGAACTTCCCCTTGAAGAGCTGCACTGCAATAACAGCAAAGATGAACATGAAGAGGATGTAGACGATGAGGATGTTCAGCACGTTCTTCAGCGAGTTGACCACGCAGTCAAACACCGCCTGAGAAAACAGAACACACACACACACACACACACACATTTTAAACCTGCAAGACATGTCAGACTCATCTCTGTAATAATAATGTTTACTGTTTCAGTGAGTCCATTACAGCAGTGTGAAGCCATCAGAGCAAGGGAAATACAAAGAGTACTATCTCAGTGTGACAAGAACCTTTTGAGATATTAAAACTACCACGGTGGATGTACTACAAAGCCGAGCAGGATGTCAAAGTGATCTATATGTATATATATATATATATATATATATATATATATATATATATATATATATATATATATATGTGTGTGTGTGTGTGTGTGTGTATATATATATATATCTATCTATATATATATATATATATATATATATAGATAGATAGATAGATAGATAGATAGATAGATAGATAGATAGATAGATAGATAGATATACACACACACACACATATATATATATATATGTGTGTGTGTGTGTGTGTGTGTATATATATATATACACACACACACACACATATATATATATATATATATATATATATATATATATATATATATATAGATATATATATAGATAGATAGATAGATATAGATATAGATAGATATAGATATACTGTATAGTGTGTGATTTTTCAATTGCTAAAACAAGATACAGCTCCTATTAGCACATGGCCCAGATCTGCAGCAGGGATGGTCTAACACACACTAACTGCTTCATGTCTGTTTGTGGTCTGTAAGAGACCCATCCTGCATGCTGCACCCATCAAGCCAAGCCCTGACCAAGGCTGCAACCCATTCAACCCCCCCTCCCCACCCCCACCCACCCAGCTGGAACTCGTACACCTCCTTCACACGACATGAGCAATCAGCTATCACATGAAGAAATCCCATGCACTGACTTGGCAGGGGTTTATTGACTAGTAATCACTAGTAACTTGAACTAACTAATGCTAGCATAAACCAGGAGAGGTGTCTTTGTAAGACCTTTAGTTTTGGCAGACGTTTGATGGTCTTGAGAGGTCTGAGAACCCGAAGCACCCTCAGGGACTTGATAGTGCTTATGTCTTTGCCTTTACTCCCCCTGGAAACAAAAACAGTTAGTTAAACCACAAACAACACGCACCTGAAATATTTTTCTTTCATGGCAATAACATACAAACAGTGTTTTGCATCAACGTCTAAAATGTGTTGGAATTGTGAATTTGAATTGAAGAAATGTTAAATAATGGAAGGATGTGAAGGGTTCAGGTATGCTGAGAAAGAAAGGCAAGTTGAACAAAGCTTTCAATCATAAAAGCTTAGAAACTCAGACACACTCTGACTTATAACAAGGGGATCATGATTCACCATGCTGCCTCTGCCACCTAGGCCTGACTGGTGCGTGTTGGTCGTTAGCCTCCGGGCCAACCTGCTGGCTTCATTACCACCTGTACCTCACTTTGGACCAATGCGTCTGCTAAATACAGAACCACACGTTCTCACATCCGAAGCACTGAAAAATGGCACTGGGTGACCAAGTGTTTGTTTCAGACACGTTAGGAGGCGACACGCTGCGCCAGAGCATCATTTTCCGACTGCCGCGGGATTTCACCGATTTCTGACCTTTACCCTCTTGCGGATGCAAAACTTTGCTTCTAGTCGTAACGTCCCTCTCAAACACGGTTACCGGGAAGTTTAGAAAGAGAAACAGGGTTAAGGTTAGGATAAGTGTGAGGGGAAGGTTAAATGGGTTAAAGGTTAAATGTCGGTGAAATGTCGAAAACCGACGCTCTGGCACAGCGCGTCGTTTCCCAGCCGCTTGCTCACACAGCGTCATTTTTCGATGCTTTGGGTGTGAGAACGTGTTGTACATCAACATAAATATATCACATCTGGAATTGGGCTGGATTGTAATATTTCTAAGCCCATGACAGCATCAAGGAACCAGGTAACCGCTACACTTGCACACTTTCACCAAGTCAGTTCTGTGACTACCTCCAGCTCAGAGGAGCAACAGGTTCACTGCATGACTGTGAAATGCGAGCCCGCAAGGATTCCCAGCCACCAGAGTGCCTTTGAAGACTGCAGGTGTTGTACCAACAGCCGGACCCTGGGAGCTGGTTAATGCTCTTTCCACGTACCAAAGAACCAGTCTGGTTCAGGTAACCCTCAGGCTTGTTGGTGGTCAGAGTTGGATTTCAACAGAGTTGCCGTTCGTCACCGGCCGTGGAGCTGGGGTGGAGGGGGCTAAGGTTGTTGGCCGGACGATCTTGTCTCTGCTTCATGAGATTGATGTGGCTTCATTAAGCAATTACTTTCAGCTCTTGGTGACGAGGTTCACAGCTGAGATTAATGCAGCTGGGTGGTGGTGGGGGGGTGGTGGGGTTGGGTGTTAGACATGCCCTCTAGGGTCATGGGATTGGCCAAGGACGGATTTAGTTGCGGGTCCCACTTGAGGAGCCAGGCTGGAGGAGGGCTGCTACCTCCATCACCCCGACATGAATAACAGAAACACATGTACTCTCCCAGATGAGTCCAGATGCTGGCTGATGCCTATTGAGGTTGCCGGTCATTTAAATCATACAGACTGCTGCGCTGAGATGCTACCAGTTCATCCAACTGACATTCACAGGAGCTAACTACTGAATTTAGTAAAGAGAAATATTAGAGCAGATCTTTGTCAGGATTAGACCTGATGCTTCTGTAGCACTGACAGTCTGGACACCTTTAAAAAGCAGCTGAAGACACTTCTACTTAACCCTTTAGGCGCCACAGTTTTTCCAGTAAAATATGAATTTTTTACATCACTATTTAAAGAGCTTGTAGCTTAAATCTGGTTAGAGACAGAGGAATATTGTAAGTTAGAAAAATATTCAGAACGAGCCAAATTTTGTGATAAGAACAATTTCACTCACATAATTTGCATATTATGACGTCATCTGGTGGCAGCCATATTGGATTGCATCACATTTGCAGATTTTTGTTTTTTTAATGTTTATGTCTTATTTTCTTAGTGTTGTTATTGTTTATGATACATATATACATATTCCTATCTAGACATATATAACTATGTATGTATATATATAATATTTATTACTTTATTGGTATTTTGTTATGTTTACTGCGTATCAATCAAGAACACTGTTTTGGTGCTTCAGTGTCATAAACACATTTCACTCATCTCTTCTTTGGTTTATATATATATATATATATATATATATATATATATACATGTGTGTGTGTGTGTGTGTGTGTATATATATATATATATATATATATATATATATATATATATATATATATATATATATATATATATATGTATATACATACCGTATATACAGTGGGGCAAGAAAGTATTTAGTCAGCCACCGATTGTGCAAGTTCTCCCACTTAAAATGATGACAGAGGTCAGTAATTTACATCATAGGTACACTTCAACTGTGAGAGACAGAATGTGAAAAGAAATCCATGAATTCACATGGCAGGATTTTTAAAGAATTTATTTGTAAATCAGGGTGGAAAATAAGTATTTGGTCACTTCAAACAAGGAAAATCTCTGGCTCTCACAGACCTGTAACGTCTTCTTTAAGAAGCTTTTCTGTCCTCCACTCGTTACCTGTATTAATGGCACCTGTTTGAACTCATTATCTGTATAAAAGACACCTGTCCACAGCCTCAAAAAGTCAGGCTCCAAACTCCACTATGGCCAAGACCAAAGAGCTTTCGAAGGACACCAGGAAAAGAATTGTAGACCTGCACCAGACTGGGAAGAGTGAATCTACAATAGGCAAGCAGCTTGGTGTGAAAAAATCAACTGTGGGAGCAATTATCAGAAAATGGAAGACATACAAGACCACTGATAATCTCCCTCGATCTGGGGCTCCACGCAAGATCTCATCCCGTGGGGTCAAAATGATCATGAGAACGGTGAGCAAGAATCCCAGAACCACACGGGGGGACCTGGTGAATGACCTGCAGAGAGCTGGGACCACAGTAACAAAGGTCACCATCAGTAACACTACAATGGCAGGGAATCAGATCCTGCAGTGCCAGACGTGTTCCGCTGCTGAAGCCAGTGCATGTCCAGGCCCGTCTGAAGTTTGCCAGAGAGCACATGGATGATACAGCAGAGGATTGGGAGAATGTCATGTGGTCAGATGAGACCAAAGTAGAACTTTTTGGTATAAACTCAACTCGTCGTGTTTGGAGGAAGAAGAATACTGAGTTGCATCCCAAGAACACCATACCTACTGTGAAGCATGGGGGTGGGAACATCATGCTTTGGGGCTGTTTTTCTGCTAAGGGGACAGGACGACTGATCCGTGTTAAGGACAGAATGAATGGGGCCATGGATCGTGAGATTCTGAGCCAAAACCTCCTTCCATCAGTGAGAGCTTTGAAGATGAAACGTGGCTGGGTCTTCCAACACGACAATGATCCCAAACACACCGCCCGGGCAACAAAGGAGTGGCTCCGTAAGAAGCATTTGAAAGTCCTGGAGTGGCCTAGCCAGTCTCCAGACCTCAACCCCATAGAAAATCTGTGGAGGGAGTTGAAAGTCCGTGTTGCTCGGCGACAGCCCCAAAACATCACTGCTCTCGAGAAGATCTGCATGGAGGAATGGGCCAAAATACCAGCTACTGTGTGTGCAAACCTGCTAAATACCTATAGTAATCGTTTGACCTCTTTTATTGCCAACAAAGGTTATGTTACAAAGTATTGAGTTGAATTTTTGTTATTGACCAAATACTTATTTTCCACCCTGATTTACAAATAAATTCTTTAAAAATGCTGCCATGTGAACTCATGGATTTTTTTTTCACATTCTGTATTCCACTATTACACCTTGAAATGGTGGTGAGGTATTAAAAATATTGAGAAGATCTTGAAAAAGTCTTGAAAAGGTATTAAATTTAACTTCAAGATTCTTGCATATATCCTGAAGAAGGGCAGTTGGTTGTTGTTACTGCTTCCATAGTCAAGCAGAGGAGCCTACAGTAGCAAATATATATATATATATATATATGTGTGTGTGTGTGTGTGTGTGTACTCTGTCCATCAACTTAGAATAAAGTGTGGATCAGAGTTTCATTCTATTTATAAGCCCAGTATCTATAAGACAAGTCCAAAAAATCCAGAGATTATTAAATAAAATCTTCTCTTAACCAAGATATCTGATCATTACGGAAGCATGATGCATTCAGTTGAAAAAAATGGTTCAGTAATTCAAAAAACAGAGCTGTTTATTCTTTTCAAGAAAATGCTATACACTTCCGTAGATCATCATACAAAGAACAAATTAAAAAAAAACATGCCTAATGTTTTCCTCCAACTGACAGTGCTCACACAAACCTGCAGGATGTTTTCCCATTATCTTAAGTGTACTATTTAAATAAGTACCAACGAAGCCCTATTAACTATTGTTGGTTCTTTTCTAGTATAACCCATATATGGTATTGAAGTTTAACATTATCTATTATTTCAAAAAGAAATCTTCCTTGTGTTTATCTCATAACTTCTGCTGTCTTGAATGAGAGCCTTTCTGTGACAGTGTCAAAAACCCAACAGTGTAGTAAAGCGACATCTTGTGGTGACATCCTGCAATTACACAATTTATGCAAATTAAACACACCCCCTGGGACCGTAGGCGTGTCCCTGTGTGATGGGACTGGCAGATAAGTGGCTGGTAACTGCCTGTCTTTGGCTGAAAGCCCGTTTTCAGTCAGCAAAAAGTGTAAACTTTTTCATGATTTCATCTGTATGTTGTGTCATGTTTGAAGTCTGTTGCATCTCTGTCTGAGGTGTTTTTTGCAGAGCAAAGCTGCCCTCCCTGTGGAGGGTAACTCTGAAGTGCCTTTTTTCCTTCCACCCGAACCAATCCTCATGTCACCCCTCTGATCTCTATTAAGGTAGCGCGACTCAGGGTTGTGAATGACCACAGTCACCAATTCTTGTCATATGTCTTTGCCTATGTATGTACAGTATGTCTGATCTCAGAATTCAAATTCAATTCAAATTCAAAAATACTTTATTAATCCCAGAGGGAAATTGATTGCTGTAGTAGCTCAGAATAATAATAATAATCAAGTCATCAAAGAG